TACCCACATTAAAAAGGCCTTGTGCCACATTCGATCCCCGTGGGTGGATTGATAAACACCATTAAGTATAGAAGTGTATGTCATTATTATACATAATATTATTAAATGTTTTTCTTTAGATCGTTTAATGCAAGGAAGGCGTTAAAGCCCCTAAAACACAAGGTAAGAGAATAAGAAAAAGAAAAACATTATTAAGGAGAGGAAAAATGAAAGAATAGGAATCAAGGAAACAGTAGATAACTATTGACATTGTATTTAAATTTTTGAAGATCAAAGTTCAGTGAGAAGCAAGAAGCCAGAAGTGGGTTATACAAGGGTGAAGTGCAAGAGAAGTAACTGCTTGCAGTTATATTTAGCTATTTCACCTGAAAGTTGATGAGACCTTGCCGCCAATCTAGTACTGCGCTGAAATTAATAAAGTCTCAGTAAGAAAGAGGAAAGATCATCAGAACAAGTACCATGAAAATATTTATAGAAAAGGCAGACGAATATCACATTATGTTAGTGGGAAAGTGACTAAAACTGAGATTGCCAGGTCAGGACTAACAATATTGCTGATTCTTCTTTATATATTATTAAGAATCTTTAAATACATAGCAAAAGCACCAGGCCAGATGTGACAGCAATATTCAATTCATGGATGAATGGTAGACCTATAATTCTGTTAGATAGATTCTGTTGTGAAAAGTTATCTAGAATGACACAGTGAACCTAACAGCAGACCTGTCAATCGATTTCACCCCAAGCAAAGCAGTAAAGTCACTAATAAACAAGGGGGGTTACTGAGTGTAAAAGATTTAGAAAACAGAAACATTACAAAAGAGTGAAAACAATAGAAGAGTAATCAAGAAGACAGTAGATAATAATTGACACCGCATTTAAATTTTTGAAGATCAAAGTTGAATGGGAAACAAGAAGCCAGAAATGAGTTCTACAAGTGTGAAGTGCAAGAGAAGTAACTGCTTGCGTTTACATCAAGCCATTTCAACTTTCAGATGATGAGACTTTGCCATTAATCTAGTACTGCACTTAAATTAATAAAGTCTCAGTAATAAAGCAGGAAAGTGATATTTATTCTGTTCTCTACAGAAATGTGGCACAAGGCCGAAAAGGGGATTGGGGAAAGGACGGTCTTCTTCTGTCTTAACTATAACTTAGCTAGCCGCAAACCCAGACCCAATTTTACGAAACAATATTCCTTACACCAAAACAACACATTCATCCGTACCTTTCTTACTACAACCACCATAATACCTCTTTGTCTCTATGAAAATACTAACTAGTCCCCATATTTACAATTCGTTGTCTGTGGGGGAGGGGAATAAAACAACAATTCTAAAAGTTAACCCCAATGAGTATTTACAATATGCATACAAAAAACTATTTACAAGAAACTCAAGAAAAATAAGATTAGTAATAAAAACCCCCACAATTACTAAATGTGATAAAGCAGGAAAGTTCATCAGAACAAGTAGCATGAAAATATTTATAGAAAAGGCAGAGGATTGTCACATTATGATAGTAGTAAAGTGACTACAGCTGAGATGCCAGGTCAGAACCAATAATATTGCTGATTCTTCTTTATATATTATTAAGAATCTTTAAATACATAGCAAAAACACCAGACCAGATGTGAAAGCATAATTCAATTCATGGATGAATGGTAGACCTATAAATCTGTAAGATAAATTCTGTTGTGAAAAATTAACTAGCAAGACAGTGTGAACCTAGCAACAGACTTATCACTGGATTTCACTCCCAAACAAGACGGTAAAGTCATTATGAGATAAGAGGTTATTGAGTGTAGAAGATTTAGAAAACAGAAACATTACAAAAGAGTGAAAACAATAGAAGAGCAATCAAGAAAACTGTTGATAATGATTGACATTACATCTTCTAAAGCTTTGAAGATTAAAGTAGGCCAGAAAATATGGTGCTGGAAGAGAGCTCAGCAACTGAGCGTTTAAGATGATGTCCGCTGATAAAAGAATAAGGAAAAGAAAAACATTATTAAGCAGAGAGAAAAATAAAAGAATAGGAATCAAGAAGAGAGTAGATATCGTTTGACATTGTATTTAAAGTTTTAAAGATGAAATTTAACTGGAAAGCAGGAGGCTGAAAGTATGAGGCTGGAATAGAATCGGGAAATGCGAGGAAAGAAACTGTTGGTAAAGAACTTACTTTTGCATCTAGCTAATGCAACTGTAAAATGATGAGACCTTGTTGACACTTTAGTACTGCGCCTAAGTTCATAAAGTCTAGGTATCATAAAACAATGTTCACCAGAAAGACTAGCATGACAATATTTATAGAAAAGGCACAGGGAAGCTACATTACGGCGGTTGGAAAATGACTGAAGCTGAGATGCGAGGTAATAACATTACAGATTCTTCTTTGGATTTTATCAAGAACTAGCAGTAGAGCCCGGCGTTGCTCGGGGATGTAACAGTAAGAGATAGATCAACTATCGACCATCATAAAGGCTGAAAAATAAAATTAAAAAATAAGATTATTGTTTAAGGTTGACGGACACGCATGTCTTAATTAAATTTTTTTTTATGAATTGGTCAAACCCAAACTCAAACAAAAACATTGTTTTCAATCGTTATGAGTCTACCGATTGAATAGAATTTTATTATAAACAATTGTCTTGTAAATGGAATTTTTAAAGTGTGCAAAACAATAAGAAACACTACCTGCCAAAAAAGTGAAGTTTTGTTGAAATCGGTTGAAAAATGTAGGAAATCCGATCCCATACATAAACGAACACACACACACACACACACACACACACACACACACACACACACACACACACACACACACAACCTGGGTTTTATAATAAGTATAAATCGATAACTCGATATTAATAAGTATAACTTGATATGAGTTGTCCCCCTTTGATTAATGCCTCTTAATCATGTTTTCAAATTGATATCATGCAAAAACAATTGTGTTTTTTCCAATTTTTGGCGCTGCCAGAACCACCGCAAGGTAATTTTACGTAGTCCTGTGAAGTTTTGTTGAAAGCGTTTGAAAAATATAGGAAATCCGATCCAATATATAAGCGTACACACACACACACACACACAAAAAAAAAACAATCTGCGTTTTATAATAAGATTTCTAAATATACTGCAGGAAAACCAGATCTGGCAGCAATATTCGAATCATGGGCGAATGATAGACTTATATGTTATAGTGGAACACACCTATTCTATAGTTAATAGACTCTCCCACCTATAATAAATAGGAGTAGTAAGAGTAACGGGGGAGGAGCCAGTCAGTCGGTGAGTCAGTCAGTCGATGTCGTACGAAAAATAGTCAAATACTAAAGTATCAGCGACCACAACTAAATTTACTCTGCGTTATTACCTATTATATCAAGTTCCTAACGTTTTGTATGTCGAACCTATTTTAGGACCGGCTTAGCACAAATACAAGCCTCCACTGTGAAATCACACCACAACATTATAAATATACAAGACAGAGTGAAACATTGTCTAGCACGACTCAATGAACCAACTTTCCTCGCAGTAGACCTAGCAATTGATTCAATATAATCATTCCACCATGTCAGTGGTGAACCCAAGAAGGTTTAAAAATTTTCTCTTCTGGATGTTAGGATCAGTCATGCTGATGGCAGGCAAGAAAGATTCTCTATGGTGATTGAAGGAAAGCAGTTTCGTTCTGGAGACGTTAAAAACTTACAAGATACAATGAACCAACTTTCCTAGCAGCAAACTGAGCAATTAATTCAATATAATCTTTTGACTAATAATATTGAAACCTCATTGTTAAAATAGCACGGTTCGTATATATGAAGGTTTTCTGTTTATGTTACGAGCAAAAGAGATACCAATAAGTTTCTAACCTGACTAGTCGTTATTCACTTAATTTTGAAGTGAATGCCTCACCATATAATATACGATCCCTCGCTATTAATATTCATTATTGAATTAAGTGCTTTGGCAGGGAATGGGGTTATATTGAAAAATAAAGTTATTTTGAAAAAAAATCATTATGTTTTGCATTTCAAGGTTAATGATGAAAATTTTGACATAATTTAAATGTTTTAGAAAATTTATTTTGTAAATGGCTTCATCAGAACAAGGCCTTCATATGGATGTCAGACATCACATTCAGTTCATTTATAAATATTTCAATTTGAATCTGTATACAACTATTTTCTCAGATCAATGAATAAAATGAATTCAAAAGAATTAATACTCTATCTTTCATCATCCCCTTTATACTGGTTTTACAAAATCATAAATGAAAAAAAATCACTTGAACACTTTCAACATCAACAAAAACCAAAAAAAAAAAAAAATGGGTAGTAAATTTAACTAGAAGAGAAAATAATAGCTTTTTTAATGCTAAGGTTCACCCAATTCAAGGCCCAAGAGCCACTTAGTGTAGAAGGTTACTGTGTATTATCGTATGAGCGTAAGAAAGGGCAAGAAGTGAAGTTTTTAGAGCTACGTAGGAAAGATAACGGTTAACTCTAAACTTGAAGAGGTTAAAACTGTAGTGATTGAGAAAACTTCTTTTCGGGAGTTTTCTTCACAAAGCATCAGTTCTTTGGAAGACGTCATCCGAATTGAATTTACTTCTTACTATTGGAATACGAAGGTAATGGGGATGATTCATACTTGTGTACGTGATATTGTGCGGCATCGTTCACTATACAACCCATTTCTGATGTCTGTAATTAAAAGGTAACACAGTTGACAAGACCAGTTTTGCTGACGACCATAGATTGTGTCATTGAGATTACCGATGTTAAAGCCGGTCAGTACTTAAACGGGAGACCGCTTGGGAACATCGGTTACTGTAAGTGACCTTCTACAATTTGAAATATATTTTGGCTGTAAATCACCACGAACTGTTGATAAACCGTAAAAACTTAATCAATCAATTGTCAAAATTAATACTTAGTCTGTCCTTTTCGTTAAGTTTTGCTGGACATTCAATGCTTCGTTTGATATAAATATCAC